GGGTTAAGTGACTTGCCCAGGGTCATGCAGCTAGTAAGTGTCAAGTGTCTAAGGGTAGATTTGAACTCAGGTCTTCCTGACTCCAGGGCCACTGCCACTATGCCACCTATCTTGCCCCTCCTCCTTATATTTTCTTATAGCATGTTGTCATATTTTGTCATTTATCATAATTGCTTGTGCATCTGTTAAATCCAATATATTAGATTAAAAACTCCTTGAGGGCAGAGACTGTCATTTTTCAACCTTTTATCACAAGTGCCTAGCATAGTGTCTTGCACAGAGTAGAAAATTAATAAATATTTCTTTAATGGAAATGGATGGCATATGGATCTCTTTAGTAATATTGTCCATTTATATGACAATGAATAGTTCACAAGTACCATAAACTTATTATATTTTCTAAAACATAAGAATATAAGCAGCATAGGTATGATTTTCTTATTTTATAGGTGAGGAAGTGAAGTATCAAAGGCTTCCTTCATAGCTAATGTTTTGAAACTGGGACTCAGAATCAGGTTTTCTGACTCCAAGTTTGTTTCTGTTCCCATTCCATCATGCTTTCAATTTGCTTCATCTGCATGTCTGAGTCGGTGGTTTAGAGTTCCTTCAAATATGCAGAGATGTATGACAATTCTGTAAGCTCAGGTGATTTACTGTTCAGCTGCATTATTACTCAGTAGTTAGTACAGAGTGCAAGATATTACTCATTCTAGCTTGACAGTCTATTCCACATTTCTTCATGATTAGTCTTATTTTGATTGTGTCTAGTCAGCAAGAAAGGGAATAATTAATCACAAGCACAATTCATAAAAGTTAGAATTCTCTTGGCATCCTTAAGCCACTGATTTTTTTTCCTTCCACTGTATATGGCTTACATTGTAAAGTGAGATGACATAACCTAATTCATTTCAAATGCGATGGCACTTGTCTCAGTCTGAGTGTTTATGTAAACCCATTTTCCCACTCTTTCTAGTGGTTTGATTGGCTTCAAGGGATTCAGCCTCCAAATAGAGTTGGTAATTGAATTTCTTTTTTTCCCTTTTTTAGTTTATGTGAAGTGTGATAAATGTGGATTTGAAAATATTTGTTATATTTTACATAAACTAGAAAAATTATGGGACTTTATGGGGTTTGAAGTAATCAAGAATTCCCTGTACAGAATTCTTCTTGTGGTATTTCTATTAATATCATTCTGCCAGTTTGGAGTCCTTCCTCCTCCTTGCTCTACACCTATCTGAATCCTACTCATCATTGAAGGCCTGATGTATGCCATCTCTTCCAGAGAGCCTTACATCCTTTAGCATTTATTTTTGGTCTTATACTGCTCTAAAATTTGTATTTATCTTTTGGTGTCTATTACTGTTAGCTCTCTTTTCTTATGTCTATACTTTATTTTCTGATTTAGATTGATAACTCCTTGAAGTCAGAGACTTTGTCTTATGCACATTCACATTTTCCACGGTGCTTTACACATTCCTCTACACTTAGTAGGTGCTCAGTAAATGACTTGATTGAAATATAAAAAGCAAGGGTGTGGTGCTTAAATCCTGCCTCATCCTGTGTTTATTGTGCTATTGGGTATTTCCATATAAAGCTAATTCTTCTTCTCCTCCTCCTCCTCTGCCTCTTCTTCTTCTTCCTCCTTCTACTCTTCCTCCTCTTTCTCCTTTTCCTCCTCTTCCATCTTTTCTTCCTCTTCTTCCTTCTCTTTGTTCTTCCTTCTTTTTGCTCTTTTTCTTCTGCCTTCATCATGACTATATTGTCATCATCATCTGAATCTGTTAAATCTAACCTAAACTGAGATTTAAGAACAATGTATTTAATAGCTGTCATCTCACAAAAAAAAAACAACCCCCAAAAAATAACAGTCTTCAAACCTTGTGGAACAAAAAGTATCTAAATATTGAGGCCTAGTGGAAAATATCTATATATCCTCTCTGCTATTGGAATTATCCTGAAGATGCCTTCGGAAGATGAACTTACATTGCAATACTTTTAATCAATTTTAAAAATCAGTTATTTTTATCTACCTGTGCAATAGTCTATCAACTATAAATATAAAATAATAATAACAGGAGAGTGATTTATCTTAGGAATGTTTCAATTTGCACTCCAATAAAAACATTGAAAATGAGGTTATTATTAATAATAATAACAAAATACAGATTTGTATAACATTTGAAGGTTTGCAAAGTTTTTTCCTCACAACAACCTTCTAAAGCAGGATGTATTATTGATATGCAGTGTGGTTCAGTGGAAAGAACATTGAATTTGAAATCAAAAGATGTGGTCTCCATTTCTGGTTCCACCACTTACTGTCTGTGTGACCTTGGGCAAGCTACTTCCATCTTGGGGCTCTGGTTCCTTCTATTAAAAGAGGAGTTTGGACCAGATTACCTCTAAGGTTCCTGCAACATCTAGATCCCTAAAATCCTATATAAAGTCAATTCTTAGTTATCTGTACTGAAAGCAGTTGGCAGAAGCACAAACAATTATAGAATCAGAATTTTTGAATTAGAAGGGACATTTTCTAGTTCAGAATCTTTATTTTATATATGAAGAAACTGATAATCCATGCGTTGAAGTCGACTCAATTTAAAGAACCGTATATGATCTCTAAGATCCTTCTGTCACCAAAAATTCTATGTGGTCTAATCAGGGTTGTGCTTGGAGCTGGTTTGTTTCAGCTCATCAGAGTTGATTGTTAAATTTTCAGCGTGAGTATTTATACCTCAGACATAGGCAAAAGTTACAAATCAGGGCTTCATTTATTGTTTTGTTGATTGTCTAGACTAAAGAAAATGATGGAGAAAATGTAATAATACAGATTGAACTGAAAAGTGTGTCATGTGTACTTTTTTCTTCTGGAGAGCCAGTTGTTAAACATTTACTGGAATATTTACCAAGGTTTTTAACCAGTTGTTTTCTATGTGTGAAATGGATCTTAAAGGTTGAATAGTGAATAAGTATCTATCTGGGGATACAAATTCAGGTATCCTGATTCAATCAATATTTTCCAGGAATAAACCTAAATAAAGGTGATGCTCCTATTAACTGAACATTGACTACCAAAATAAATATCAATAATAATATAAAAGCTAATTTTATATAGCACTTTAAGATTAGCAAAGCACTTTACACATGTTATCTCATGCTTCAAAAAGCCCTATGAAATAGGTGCTATTAATATCTACATTTTAAAGATGAGAGAATTGAGGCAAACAGAAGTTAAATGATTCCACCCCCCCCCCCCCCCTGTATATGGTTACATTGCAAAGTGAGATGACATAACCTAATTCACTTCAAATGCAATGGCACTTGTCTCAGCTTGGGTGCTTATATAAAGCCATTTTTGTCACTATTTCTAGCGGTTTGGTTGGCTTTGGGGGATTTGCCTGGAATCCTACAGCTAGTATCTGAGGCGGGATTTAAATTCAAGTCTTCCTGACTCCAAGCCCGGCACTCTAAACATTGTGCCACCTAGCTGTCTAGAACATATACCTTCTCTACACCCCCTTTCCTTTGTATTAGTTGGGGCCTTGAAAAATTTTATATATAATGCCATGATAAATAAAGTCAGCTAAACTGCATCATTAACAGGTGTTTCTGGGTTCCATGGCCATGGAATGAAGGGGCAGAAAGATGCCGAGGTAAATGGTGAACATAACTAAAAAGAAAACATATGATGAAACATTAAAATGAGAGAACTTTTTTAGCCTGAAGGAGAAAAAGGGAGGTGGGCTTTTAGCCTTGGGTAAGGAAACAAGCTGTGAGGCACAGCTGCAAACAGCACCATGGCAGTCACTACAGCCACAGACCAAAATAAATCTTTAACCACATTATGCAAAAAATCATGCTGGCCACATAGGATTTTTCAGCCTTACTCAGTGAAAATGATGGCTCTAGACAGTAGCATTATCAAGGACATGGGTAAGCAATATTTCTTTTAGTAAAATATGGTAAGTTATTTCAGAGATGGTTTATTAATCTGTAACTCATTTTAAATCTCACTGACTAGTGAGTAATTCCATATACTGCAGAGCAATAGCAGGAGCAGACATCTGTATGTGTCATTTGGGATTTGAGTCCCCCCTTTCCCTTTTATTCCAGATAAAGCTCCTGTTCTTCATTAATTAAATATTTATCATATACCATGTGCAAAGGCACTATCCTAGCTACGTGGTGCAGTGGGTAGAGTCCTGGTACTAGAATCAAGAAGACTTACATCCATCCATTTTCCTAGCTGTGTGGATCTGGGTAAGTCACTTAATTGCTGCCTGCCTCAGTTTTCTCAACTGTAAAATGGGGATAATAATAGCACCTACCTCCTAGGGTTATTGTGAAGATAAAATGAGATAATATTTGCAAAGAATTTTGCAAACCTTAAAGTGCTATATGAATGTTAGCTATTATTAAAATAAATGTAAATGAGAGACAAGGTTAAATTGCACTAACCCTGGTTTTAAAATAAAAAGGACTTGGAAATCCCCATGTTAATTACATGAACACTTTAGATACTAAATATTTAATTCATACCAGCTCATTACTTCCATCTTCATCGAAGTCCTCCTCTATCCCATCAGTCATCTCTTCTCCATCTCCATCTGCATCTGGTCCTCCTTCAATTGGTTCTTCTGTAGAGTTGTCTGCATTCTCTGACACACATTCCTCTTGGTTCAACTCTATGTTATCTTCCATTTGCTTCTTCTGAGCTTCTGAGGGAAAAGAGCAAATGGCTACCTTTCATAGTTAATGGTCTGTTCTGATGAACCAAAAATATTTGCAGCAACATATTCCATAAAAGATGGCACTACATTGATAAAAATGTGAACGATAACTTTTTTTTTCATTTTCTAGCCTGTGATTTTTGTCATTAAGTGTACTTGAACATATCAGTTATGTGCAACCTCACTTAAATTGATTTATGTATTGTATTTTTTAAATGTAGAACTTCTAAAACTCAGAGAAACAAAATAGTGGAGTTAGTGGCCCATGAGTTGGAGAAACATTTCAATAAAGCAATCATTCTGGTTAACATACATATATAACTTACAACATATTTTAAAATTTAATTTTTTAGTTGAATAGGCACCTTAGAGACAAAATGAAAGCAAAATAATGAGTAAAGATGACATAAAAATAAAAAGTAAACCCAATGAAAATGGAGAAAGCACATAGGGAAGACCAAGCCTTAATATGAAAGGCACATAAAAACATGTTGCAGTAGTTAAAGAATACAATGGTAGAAATGTTAACCTTTCTTATCGTTGAGTCATTTTTCAGTTGTGTCTGACTCTCTGTGACCCCATTTTGGGTTTTCTTGGCAAAGATACTGGAGTGGTTTGCCATTTCCTTCTCCAGCTCATTTTACAGAAGAGGAAACTGAGGCACATAGGGATTGAGTGGCTTGCCCATTGTCACATAGCTAGTAAGTGTCTGAGGCCAGATTCGAATTCACTGAGAATTCCTGACTCCAGGCCCTATGCTTTATCCACTGTGCCATCTGGTTGTAGCACGTTAACTATATATATTATTAATAACAATAACATCTATTTATATAGTTCTTGCAAAGTTCTTTCATGATTTATTGTCATCTCAGAACATTGCAATAATCATAAGAATATTATTGTTACCATTCAGCAGATAAAGAATCTAAGACGAAGAAAAATCAAATGATTTGCCCAAAGTCAAAAGGTTCTTATATATAGACAAATGAGCCACAACTATTAAAGGCAAAGTCTATATGAAAGATACATTTAAATAATTTAGATTAAATTTGGATATTTGCTTGTATTTTCCATTTTCCATTCCTATTCTCATACATACTTCCTAGGAAGGGTCTTTAATTGTCACTGGATACATGAGAACATGCATATATCTGTAATAGTTTTCTTTATGATACTGCTTTAATATGTCTAGGATCATGTCAGTTCCAACTCAGTAATGATACTATTTTTGTTTTAATTATTTATTATTAATAACATCTAATATTAGTTTTTTTTAATTGGGGGATTTTAAAGGTTTATTGCATTTTTGACATATTAGATATTTCTTGGACCCTTTCTTTTCTTAATGTAAGCCAACAGGTCAATGTAAAGCAGTTCATTAATATACAGCCCTTCAGAACTACATCTAACTTTCAACACACATACCTAATGGCTGATTATACTTCATATAAGAAAAAGACTGGGGCACTTTCTTTAAAGTAAATCAGAATTCATTATGTATATGCCCTGCTTTATATTTCTTAATTCTCTGGATTTTTAAATAAGCATTTTCAAGGCTGAAGGAAAGTGGTGGAATGATTGTTACTGAATTTCTAAGGTTCTGTGATCTTATGGATGTTGGTTTTTCCCTCTAACAAAGCAGTTCCCCACCCATTCTTTTTCTTTCATCATGTGGCCCTTGTCCAGGTCCTTCCTAAATCCTTCACAGGCGGGGTGGGGCACTCAACTTGCAGAGAGCCTTCTTCTAGGGACTTAATATCATGTGGGCACAAAGGGAGCAAGTAGGCTATGCATTGGTTTACTTCCTATTATGGTCACATCTATCTCTTTGGAGAAATATTTTTTATATTACTTTTTGTGTACAATTACACATTGGTAAAATGTTATAACCTGTTTAGTTCCGCCACGGTATATCTAGAGCTTTTTGGGTAAAAATGCAATTTTGACTCATCAAAGTTTATGATATTCCATAGTATGTAGCAATATAGAAACATTAGAAGAATTCTAAAGTTAAAAATGCTATGTCTTACACAAGGCCTTCCTTGATCACCCATTTTTTTTATCATGCATATAATTTGAATTTGTTTATTTATGTTTATATTTTCTTCAAGCAAAATGTAAGACTCCTGAGGTCAGGGACGGTTTTCATTTTTTGCTTTTGTATTCCCAGGGTCTAGTCCTATGCTTGAAACACAATAGACAGCAGATGTTTAATATTGCTAGAGATGAAAGGGACTCACTAGATTTTATTACATAAAGAAGTGAGTCAGTCAGACTCACACTTTAGGAAAATCACTATGGCAGCTAAATAGAGGATGGATTGAGGAGAGACCTGAGGAAGGGAGACCAATTATGGGAAAGTTGCAATAGTCCAGTCCAGAAGTGAGGAAGGACTGAACTGGAGTGGTAGCTTTGTGAATGGAGAGAAAGGGATGTGTGTGAGAGATGTGGAGGCAGAAACAAGAAGATATAGTAATTAATTACATATAGGGGGTGATTGAGAATGAGGAGATGAAGAAGATGTTGAGGTCATGAACTTGGGCTTCTGAAAAGATAGTGGTACCATTGACAAAAAATAGGTTAGTTTGGTAGAGGAGAGGATTTTAGGAAGGAGATAATGAGTTCTGTTTTAGACATGGTGAGTGTGAGATACATAGAAGACAAAATAATTCATTATAGAAATTTTAGTAGATCTTTCCTTTTTTTTTTTTTTGGTTTATTTGTTGTCTCTCTTCCAGTTTTGTCCTTAAATGTTTCAACTCTCTTTTTGAAGAAAGTATCCATAATAGCTAGGAGTGAGATTTCTGTATAGTTTACAAACCTCAGGCTTGTTTCTCTTGACTCTGCATCATATTCTAACATTTTGTACTGCCATTGAATCTATGTTCACCTTCACTTTGAAGTCATTATTAAAGTATAATATTAATTTAATTTGAAGGGTCTTGTTGAATTTTCATAGAATTTTTCTACTTCTGTATCCTCTAATTGATACTGATGCATAAGCTTCAATCATCACCATGGTGGCCTGTTTGTTTATGTTCATAATGAGATTACTAAGTGGCTGTTAATATATATTAAACATTCATTGTGCATTTTCACATTTAAATTCCACAGTTAACATAGGTTAAATTGTGGAAGATACATATTAAATTGAGAAAACAATCCATTGTAAATTATATTTAATAATGGGAAAGGTTATATGTATCTTTACATAGTTTCACTGAATTAAACATGTGATTAAAAAGCTTTTTTTGTGGGGGTTGGCAATACTCATCACCTAATGTAGCCCAAACAAATTCTAAGGGGGAAATGAATAGTTGCTTGAACTGATATAATGGTAGTAACTCTTCTTCTTTGTGTACACTGTGGAATTTTATGTTATAATAAAAATTGAAACAAACACAGTTATCTACATAGGTATTGATTACACTTAGACAACTGTTTTGATTTTTTAAAAATTGTTGGTCTTGTCTAGGAATTAAAGAGAAAAAAGATATGATGGAATTCATGGATTCAGTCAAATATGAAAGTGAGCATGTATGGTCATAGACATCTTAAAACCCACTAAATAAGAGATTCTACTATTCTTTTCTTTCAAACATTTCTGATATGTCACATAGACACAGGCCAGGTTCTTCTAGCAACTGAATGGTTCCTTTATGCTTTGCCTTATAAATCTCTAATCCAACTGAGCTCAAACTACTCCAAATGTCTAAATGTTGGTAGGGAAAAAAGGATTTGTATTTTAACTTCATATACACATTGCTTTAAAGGAATGCCAGGCTTATGTAGTATTTTAAAAATTATTTTGGCAATTAAGAAGCCAAACAAGAATGAATATAATAATTTTGATGTAAAATATATGTAGTTAATCCATAGACAAAAATGGAGTAATTGATTGAAGAGGGAGATAAGCTGAGAGCTATAGAAATGGTTCTCAAAAGGTTTAGAAGAGATCCTCCATTGTTTTGACCAGATCTTCTCTTGTGGATTTGTGGGAGGTTACAGAAAAGAATGTCACAGACTGAGAAAGCATTGATGGGTTATGACTTGCATTAGCACAGTGAAAATCCACAGAGAAGAGACAAAGCATGGCATAGTAAAACAGGAAGACCTGGGTTTAAAAGTCACACTTCTTACATTTATAAGCTATGTGACTTTGGTTAAGTCACTCAACTTTCTAAATCTCAGTTTCCTCATCTGTTAAATAGAGATAACAACTAAAATATCTACTTCCCAGGCTTACTATAAAGTTCAAATGCTATAAGCATAGAATTATAATAAAGCATTTTGTAAACTTTAAAAAGCTATACAGGGTGCCCAAAAATCTCAATGTGGTTTTATGCTCTAGTAGAGTAAAACTTCACTGAAATTTGTGGGATGACCTGCAAAACTGTATCATTATACAATATTATGTGATATTGTATGCCCTGTATTATTATGAGATCATGGAAGTACTGCAATATTGATAAGTAAGCAAAGTATAAGGAAAGGCTGTGTTGAGTTGAAAGGGAACTGGTAGTTGAAAGTGAAGTGGTCAGAAATGATGAATTTTGGGCCAAAAAGTAGGGAGTTGAATCAATATGTGTTCTCTAGCCAAAACAATCTAAAAGAATTCCAAGTGCTCCATGATTTCTGTAGGATTTCACCAGCACTGATTTGTGTCAGAGCCCAGACAGGAAATACTCTAGTCAGTAGAGGATGACAAGGTCCATCAAAGAAATAATACATGAAAGCACATCTTATTTATTAACATTGTGATGAATACAGTAATAACCACTTTTGCTCAAGAGGTACACTGGAACGACAAGAAAAAATGACTATGTAGAATGACAACTTTCAATTGAATAAATGTACTTTCCATGGAGATATTTGACTGCATTTACTTTGACTAAAAACTAGTAAATTTTTTTAGTAGTGTATCTTTTCCATTCATAATTTAAAAATACATTTTGATGTGGTTTGCTTTCTCACAGTTCTAGGTGATA